GAACGATCCCTCATTTGTTGAGAGAGAGAGAGAGAGTTTTCCAGCCATGCACGTAGAGAGATAGAGAGAGGCTACTTCCATCGATACTAGGATGAGCAAAATCGGAACGCACACGCGCGTGTACTACTAGTGGTGTATATTTCGATGTTCTAGCAGTACATTCATTCGATTTTGCTCTTCCTATTGATGAAAGTACTTTTTTTTTTTTTTTTTTTTTTTCTCTCTCTCTCTCCAATAGAAAAATTCCCTTGAAACTGACAAACTAAATGAAATTCTAAGTTGAAAATAAACATTCTATTTCTAAAATTTCCCATCTAACTTCCCACCTTTCCGTATAAAAAAAAAAAATTCCTTCTAACTTACACAAACATCCTATTAAGACCAAAAGTCTGGACACAGTTATGAAATTTTCGAATAAGATTGACTTTCTATCATGACCGATTTCAAATTTATTAGATCAAAAAACAAACTTAATTACGTTGGTCATTGGAATGTAAAACATCATCTTGGAAGGATAAATCACTATTTGGAATGACAATGTTAATTTTGGAATGAAAATTTTGAAGTAGGAATGTCCATAAGAAGAGAAAAAAATCACATGAAATGTATTTCGTATATGACAAGCTTGCTTTTGTACCCGAAGTTCATATTTCGAAACTATAAGGGAATGTTGTGTATGCCATAGGGTGTCATGTGAAATCAGACATGTGGACGGTGCAGCGCTCCGCCTCCATACTCCACAACTTGAAACAAAATATTATTGTGAAGTTAGAGTCCACCGCTCCATGCACATGGTGCAAGTGGTGCGATTGGGTGTAAGTGAAGCATGCATGAAACAAATTATCAAGAGTTTGGTCTAATACCACCCTTAACACTTGGGTCAACTTCAAGCTGGCACTGGCAGACACTACCTTGTCTTCTTACCAATCTGTTGATCATTCGGGATTCGAATGACATGATATTCTCTCTCTCTCTCTCTCTCTCTCTCTCCCTCTCTCTCTCTCTCTCTCTCTCTCTCTCTCTCTCTCTCTCTCTCTCTCTCTCTCT